GATGCCTAGCCTGAAGAAGTTACCCTCCTCCCTCCGGACAAACCTCAGGGGATCTCTCTCCCACTGCAACTCTCTCGTAATCTCTTCGGCCCTGAAACTGCTCGACCATGTCCTGAAGCAAACCAGGTACTACAGCCACATCACCTTTCTTAGTACCTGCCTACGGAACCAAATCATCCCCAATGGACTACAATCCACATTGAAGCCTTCCCAATTTCGCCCCAACCGTGACAATATCTACACTCATGGCATTGAGATCCTTCAGAAGCGTTTCTCCCTGCGACTCCTGAAACAAAAAAGCCTTTTCTGAAGAAGGGTCTAGGCCCGAAACATCAGCCTTTCTGCTCCTATGATGCTGCTTGGCCTGCTGTGTTCATCCAGCTCTGCACCTTGTTGTCTCGGATTCTCCAGCATCTGCAGTTCCTACTACCCCAACTCTACACCTTGTTGTCTCAGATTCTCCAGCATCTGCAGTTCCTGCTATCACTGAAACAATTTTAACCCCACTGCGAAGCCTCTTCTAAGGATGCCTACCCTGAAGAAGTTACCCTCCTCCCTCCAAAACAACCTCAGTGGATCTCTCTCCCAGCATTTCTGAAGAAGGGTCTAGGCCCGAAACGTCAGCCTTCCTGCTCCTCTGATGCTGCTTGGCCTGTGTTCATCCAGCTCTGCACCTTCTTATCTCCGATTCTCCAGCATCTGCAGTTCCTGCTATCTCTGTGCCAGAAGGCCCTGGTTTCACCCCACCTGCACCACAGTTCGTGTCATAACGTTTCTGAAGGTATTGACGAAAATTAAACGAGATCGCTGAGACACAGGGATGGTCCATAGGCAGCGGACGTTTGCGATGTCAAATTCTGGAAGGAAACTGATCAAGAAAAAAAAAGTTTGCGGCAAAAGTAGAAGTCGCTGGGAAAGCGAACAGAGAGAGGGTCGCTCGACCCGAGACGTTTACTCTGATTCCGCTCCACAGACGGCTGCCAGGCTTGCCGAGCTTTTCCGGCAATTTCTGCTTCTGTCTCCCCGATTTCCGGCTCCCGCCGTTCTTTCGGTTTTTTATTCAGGAAAAGACGAGCAACTGCTTTGTGCCGGAGAGAGTGCAGGAGCGGCTGAGAAGTTTTGGGGGATGAGAAACCTCGGCTCCGAGGTCAGATTGCGACCGTTCTCCTGGGGTGTTGGGGGTTGGGGGTTCGGGGTGGTGGGGGGCGCAAAGCAGCTGAGAGGAGGTTCCAGAGGTAGTAGGAACTGCAGATGCTGGAGAATCCGAGACAACAAGGTGTAGAGCTAGATGAACACAGCAGGCCAAGCAGCGTCAGAGGAGCAGGAAGGGTTAGGGTTCGTCACTTCAGAGCCAAAGCCTCCGTAGCTGCTATCCCCCTGCAGCCACGTAGAGGCCAGATCGGCGAGGACAGCAGATTTCCTTCCCTGAAGAGACTGTGCCAAATCAGATGTAAGTTAGACAGGGCATTCGGGGTCAAGACAGAAGGAAAGCTGTGATCTGAGGAATGGCGGACCAGATGTGAGGGGCCGAGTGGCCTCCTGTTCCTGTGGAACAAGTGGGAGGAGAACTGAATAGGGAGGAGGCAGGGGAGTGCACGTTAGTTGTGACTGTGTGGAAATCTAACACCACCTCCCACTTTGTCCCTGTTGTTTTTCTCTCGCTCTCTCTTTCAGATTACACACTCTGGCCATTTTGGGTAGACACACACGTAGACCCACCATTCAGAAAAGACAGGTGAGAACATATATTTAGACCTTATCTTCTCTCTTATCCCTCACTCACTCTGTCCCATTCCCTCCCTTGCTTGCTCGCTGTGCCCTGTTCCCTCCCTCCCCTCGCTCTGCCCCGTTTCCCCCCTTTCTCTCTGCCCCGGTCCCTCCCTCCCTCGCTCGCTCCGTACCCTCCTACTCTCTCTCACTCTCCTGCCTCCCAGGAATGGCCAGATCGTGGATAGCTCTGGAAGGAAAATCAAGCTGTACCCGGAGGTGGCGGAGGTGCTGCAGACTCTACACGGAGATGGCATCTGGATCGCGGCCGCATCCCGGTGAGTGCCAGCCTTCCTTCCTTTCCGGGGAAGGCCGCTGTCCCTGGGTTCTCCCTGCTGCCGCCTCCCCTCCCCCCTGCATGGCCAAACAATAGCCAAAGCGTTGAATGCATTCTCCAGGGAAGCATGTAGCTGGGGATAATAGTCAGGGAGAAATTGAGGAACAAATATTCAGAGAGATCTCCATGATATGTAAGAATAATAAGGTTGTGCTGGTGGGTGGTTTTAACTTTCCAAACGTTAACTGGGACCACCATCGTGTTAATGGTTTGTATGGTGAAGAGTTTGTTAAACGTGCTCAAGAAAATTTCCTTTATCAATATGAAAATGTTCCTACGAGAGAAGGAACAAAACTTAACGTACTCCTGGCAACGCAGGTGACTGAGCTGTTGGTAGGGGAATGCTTTGGGTCCAGTGATTGTAATTCTGTTTTAAAATAGCGATGGAAAAGGAGAAGCCTTCCGTTTAAAAATTGAAGTTTTTAAACTGGAGGAGGGTAAATTTTAACGGTGTGAGACAAGAGCTTTCGAAAGTTGATGAGAGGAAACCGTTTGCAGGTGAAGGGGACGTCTGCCGAGTGGGAGGCTTCGAGAGTTCAGAGGCATTGTGTTCCTGTTTGAGTGAAAGGTGAGGCTGGCAGCATTAGGGAACAGTAGGTGGATAAAGATATTGAGATACTAGTCCCCCAGTTTTGAAAAAAATCATTAGGTTAGATATAGACAACTGGGTTCAAATGAATATAATATACCAAGGTGCAGAGCTGGATGAACACAGCAGGCCAAGCAGCATCAGAGGAGCAGGAAGCTGACGTTTCGGGTCTAGACCCTTCTTCAGGGATGGTTCAAATGAATCTCTTGAACGGTATAAAGAGTGTAGGAGGGAGGTCAGGAAAGGCAAAGAGAGGATATGAGATAACTTTGGCAAATAAAGTTAAGGATAATCCAGAGAGATTCTACAAGTACGTGAAGAGCAAGAGGGTTGCGAGAGAGATAGAGTAGGGCCCCTTCAGGACCAAAGGGGTCGTCTTTGTGTTGAACCTCCGGAGGTGGGAGAGCTGTTAAATGAACATTTTGCGTCAGTTTTTACTGTGAAGAAAGAAGTGGAGGCTGTGGAACTCCAGGAAACAAATATCGATGTTTTCGAAAACGGGCTCACGTTACGGAAGAGGAAGCGCTGGAAGATGTAAAGGTGGATAAATCTCCGGGACCTGATCTAGCGCATCCCAGGAGGTTGTGGGAAGCTGGGGAGGGAATTGCGGGACACCTGGGAGGAATATTTCTGCATCGTCTGTAACTGTGGGTGAGGTGCCAGAGGCCCTGGGAGTGGCTAATGTTGTACCTTTTTGTTTAAGAAAGGGCTGTAAGGAGAAGCCTGGGAACTATAGGACCTGACTCTGACTTTGGTTGTGAGTAAGCTGTTGAAAGTGATTCTGCAGGATAGGATTTACGTTACACGCATGTAAGGACCAATTAGCGATAGTCAGCACGCGTCAAACTTGATTGAGCTTTTTGAGGAAGTAACTAACCAGTCATGTTTGATCACGTGGAATTCAGGGCCCTGGGTAGTGCCGTGGAACAGAGAGACCTAGGGGGACAGGTACATAATTCTTTGAAGTTTGTGTCACACGTAGACAGGGTGGTTAAGAATGTGCTTAGCATGCTCGCCTTCATTGCTCAGACCTTTTGCGTGTAGGAGCTGGGGACATCATGTTGAGGTTGTACAGGGTCGTTGGTGAGGCCTCTTCTGGAGCCCTGTGTCCAGTTCCGGTCTCCCTGTTACAGGAAGGATGTTATTAAGCTGGAGAGATTTACCAGGATGTTGCCGGGAATGGACGGTTTGAGTTATAAGGGGACGTTTTTCACTGGAGCGTCGGAGGTTGAGGGGTGACCCTGATAGAAGTTTACAAAATCATGAGGGGTATAGATAAGGTGAATGGCAGGTGTCTTTTCCCTAGGCTGGGGGGGTTTCAAGACAAGAGGGCACATTTTTATGGTGAGAGGAGAAAAATTTTAAAAGGATGTGACGGGCAACTTTTTTTTTACAAAGATAGTGGTATGTGTGTGAAGTGAACTTCCAGAGGAAGTGGTAGGTGCAGCAACAGTTATAACGTTTTAAAGACATGTGGATAAGTACATGAGCAAGAAATGTTTGGAGGGATATGGGCCAGGAGCGGGCAGTTGGGACTAGTTTAGTTTGGGATTAGGGTCGGCACGGACTGGTTGGGCTGAAGGGTATGTTTCCGTGCTGTCTGACTCTATCACGCATCAACCCGTGCTACCACATCACGTGTAGATGTGCACAGATGTGCAGACGCGTGTTCAGCGACAGACACGTGTACACAGCCACCACGGTGCGTGCCTGGCATTGCAGCGGGCAAAGGGGTAGGGTATTGCAGGTGTTAAGTGCACGTGAGTCTGTCTGTGCACACGGGCTAAGAACATAAGATTAGAACCAGGAGAAGGAGTAGGCCATCTGTCCCCCTTGAGCCTGCTCCACCATTCAATAAGATCGTGGCTGATCTTTCTCATGGACTCGGCTCCACTCACCCCCCACCCCCCGCTCACCATCACCCTTAATTCCCTTACAGTTCATTAATCTATCTTTGCCTTAAAAAACATTCAATGTGGTAGCCTCAACTGGGCAGGGAATTCCACAGATTCCCAATCCTTTGGGTGAAGATGTTCCTCCTCAACTCGGCCCTAAACCTGCTCCACACTATTTTGAGGCTACGCCTCCTTCTTCTAGTTTTACCAAGCAGCGGGAACACCCTCCCTGCTTCTCTCTTATCTATTCCCTTTGTAATTTTATATCTTTCCATAAGATCCCCCCCTCATTCTTCTAAATCCCAATGAGTATAGTCCCAGTCTCCTCAACCTCTCCTCATAACCCTCTCAACTCCGGAATAACCCAGTGAACCTCCCCTGTACCCCCCATCCTTTCTCAAGTGAGGAGACCCAAACTGTACACAGTTACTCCAGCTCACCAGCACCCTGTAGAGCGGCAGCATAACCTCCCTGGTTTTGAACACCATCCCTCTAGCGATGAAGGCCAATATTCCATTTGCCTTCTGAATGACTTGCTGCACCAGCAAACCAACTTTTTGCGATTGAATTGAAAAGGGACAGGAAAGGAGGCATGGTTGGGCAAGGTGGAGCCTGGTCTCGTTGGAGAGATCGTGGTGGGGGCGTGGGGCCTTGTGCTGACATTGCTAAGGAAGTCGGCCGTGTGATTGGGAGAAGGGGTCGGTGGGGGATGTCGCGGGGAACCGGGAATCTGCCCTCCTTTAGCCAGCGTGACCTCCAGGCGACCGCAGGCCTGCAGCCTAGTACAACCGCGCGCCCAACTCTGAGAAACGGCCAAAGCCGTGTGCACCGCCCCCTCTACCCTCTCAACAGTCCTGACGACCCTCCAGCTCTCTGAGGGGGGGTGGGGGGATGGGGAGGTTCGGAGCCTCCCTTGTCCACCACGGATGCCGATGGAGGCGATAATGGTGGGGAGGGTCAGATTTCGCCGCCGGGCCCGCTCACCTGTGGACCACGCCCTTGCTGTGGATGTAGGCCATGCCCTGGCACAGCTGCTCGAACCACTTCCCCGCCGTCCTCTCGTCGCACGCCCCCTTCATGCGGATCTTGTCCATGACCTCGCCACCTGGTGCCAGCTCCAGCATGATGTAGACCCGGTTGGTGGTCTCAATCGACTGGTAGAAGTTGATGAGGTTCGGGTGCTTGAGGCTCTTCCAGACCTGGATCTCGCGCGGCAGGAACTTGCTGAGGAACTCAGCCTCGGCTTTCTCCTTCAGCAGGACCTTGACTGCCACGTTGGTACGCCACTTCTTGAAGTAGGCCTCCCAGACGATGGCGTACGCCCCCTTGCCCAGGTAGCGGCCCAGCTGGTAGCCGTGCTTCTCCAAGATGGACGAGACCACTTTGGCCTGTGAGCTGGCCATTGGCGGACGAGCCAGCTTGAGTTCTCTCTTTTTTTTTTGTGGGTGGGGGGGGGGGGGGGGGGGAAAACGGGCGGGGGGGGGGGGGGGGGGCGGCGGGAGGGGGGGGGGGGGGGCTCCTAAAACATTGGCCGCGTACCTAGAGGCGGGCCTGTCAGAGCTGGCGCCTTCCCCCTCAACCCCTCCCCTCCCTTCTGCCTGCCCCGTTCCAAGTATTGGACCCGCCACCCCCGGGACAGGCAGAATGGGTGGCTCAGTGACAATCCTGGTGCGTGTCCATCGGTAGGCCCCTGGAGATATTCACATCCTCGCCAGAGGAACGCAACCCTCAGTCTCTGCCAGCGAGCGACTGAGATACGCTTTAGAGTGCAGGCATAGGTGCGTTATTTAGGGGGTGACGGTGGTGGTGGGGGCGGGGGAGGAGGGTTTGTTGGGGGGGAGATGATGAGAGCAGGACGAGGGAACGAAGGGGCACAAAGACCGAAGACGTGGGGAGTGGGCGGCGCGCGGCCGAAAGTGGAGGGAGAGGCGGTGGCTGAAGGAGGAGGCGCCTTTCAGCAGAAAGACAGCGCTGCCTTCATGACAAGGAGGGGTCGAGGGACCGGTGCTGGGGTTGGGGGGGGACGGCGGGGGGGAGCGGTGCTGTTCCAGGCTGCTCGGGTACGTTGGCTCTCTCGGCTCGAACGGGAGGTCTGAGCGCTCCCCCCCCCACCCCCACCAAGGTCTCTGAGACCGGGGCGGGTTCTGTGCCTCTGTGAGGTCACAATGCTCAGCGGGTTACCGGGGGGTGGGGGGCATCGCATCACTGAGGGAGGGGGGGGG